CCACTATTGATAAGCAGAGGCTTCTAATTTCTACATGTCCTAAGTACCTCAGTCAAATATTATATCTTTAATTTTCATACCACAACGTGGCAGAATGCCAGCCTTGACCAAAAATCTCAGGGACAGCACCTAGACTCCGAGTTCAAGCCTCAGGAGCAGCGCGCCCACTCTCGCACCCCCCCCACACACACACAGAGCTTGAGTAGATGATGATTACATTCCTTGACACAGAGTACTGATAACCAGAGGGCAGGCCAAACCTCCACCCTAGTGTCCCTGCAGGAGGCCACAAGCTCCCATTGCAACTTCTCCACACCTTACACAGGACTTGGCTGAACTCCAGCCCATCTCTAGAGAAACTGCATGCCAAGGCCCACAAACAGGACAAGTGCCATGCCCACGTGTTACATACACTACATCTATGCACACGTGTTACATATATGCTCCCTGTCAATCAATCTGTCATTCGAGTTCTAAATCCCTAATCAGGGACTGTTAACAATCCCAACTAAACAAAGGTTCAGGCAATGTGAACATAACACTTCATGAGAAAACTGTATTAGTTCCCAGAAATAAAGTTGAATATTCTAGCCTAGATTTCTCCCATGCCTCTTCCCTCCTCCTCCCCTCGTTCTTTCATTAACACCAAGACCTGGCCAGTGATTTCTAGAGCCTTGAATGGGCCTGTGGGCATGCGGGCCTGGGGGAAGGGGGCATTGCAGGGGAGGGGGCGCTGCAGAGAAGAGTGCAGGGGTGGGCGGTGAAGAGCATGTCCAGCATACATGGAGGGGCGTGTCCGGTAATGGCGGGGGGCGTGTCCAGCGTGCATGGGCAGAGGCGTGTCTAGGAACAGAGGGGGCATGTCTAGCATAAGTAGGGAGGGGCGTGTCCTGCGCACAGGGGGGGTGGAGAGGGACGGCGGGGGCGTGTCCGGCGTACGTGGGGCGGGGCGTGTCTGGCGTACCTGGGAGGGCCACGCCCGGCGCACGTGGAGAGTGGTGGAGAGTGGCGGGAAGGGCCTGGTCCGCTGAGACGCTGAGGCCAGGAGACGCGCTCATGGCAGGGGTGAGCCGGTGCCTCGGGAAGCGCCGAGGTGAGAGCTGCGGACTCGGCCCGGCCGGGTGAGGGGCCCGGAGGGCAGGGTGAGGAGGACCATGCAGGCCGGCCAGGCCCGGCCAGGTGAGGGGAGGCCGCGGACGCCGCCCGGTGGAACGAGGACACCTCAGGCCTGGGAGCAGGTTCCAGAACCTTCCACGAGGGAGGGGCGAGCGCCCGGAGATGGTGGCCGTCTCGGCCACGGGCCAGGCCTGCCTGGCGCAGTACGGGGGGAGTGGGAAGGGGAGGTGACCGGTTAGGGAGGCGCGGGGCGGGGCGGGGGGCTGGGTCCCGAGCGAGGGGGGTACTGGGGGGGCGGCCAAGGGGGCGAGCCGGAGGCAAGGCTTGCTGCGGGCCGCGCTGGGGCGGAGGGAGGCTCGGCCAGGACCATGGCTGATCCCCGCGACAACTTCAGGAAAGAAAGGTGCTGAAAGTCATGGCAGGGCTGGGAAGGTGGCTCAGTGGTAGAGCGCTTGCCTTGCATGCCTGAGGCCCTGGGTTCCATTCCTCAGCACCACATAACCAGAAAAAGCTGGAAATGGCGCTGTGGCTCAAGTGGTAGAGCGCTAGCCTTGAGCTGAAGAGCTGAGGGACAGCGCCCAGGCCCAGAGTTCAGGCCCCACGACCAACACACCAAAAGAAAAAAAATGGCAGGCAGGGAGGAGAAAATGGGGCCCGGGCCTTGGTGAGGATTTGGGTCAGGCAGGTGCACCAGCTCACAGCTACCAACGGATCTGTCACCGCCCAACTTAGGAATCCTCTATGTTCAGAAGGATTTTCCATTTCCTTCAGTCGTGGTCTCCTTTATATATAGCTGAGATCTTTTGTGTTTTCTGTCTCTGAGGATTTACCTTTAAGAAACATCCTTTCCTGTCGGGATATTTCAGGAAGAGTATTTTATAGCTTTTCTTGAATGGTCCTTTATGCAATACTGTATTGACACCAAAATTCAACCATTTTTTTTTCACATTTGCTTCTGGTGGTGAGAGTAAAATAATCCATTTAAATTAATGGGGGCCTGACACTGGTGGTTCACCCCTATATTCCTAGCTACTTGGGAGGTTGAAATCCAAGGATCATGGTTCAAAGACGCCCAAGTAGAAAACTCTGACACTTTTATCTCCCAATTAACCAACCAAATGCTAGCAGAAGACATGAGGGTCAAGTGCCAGTCTTGAACAAAGAAGCCAGGTGAGAGCACAAGGCTTGGAGCTCAAGGCCCAGTACTAGCGCGCGCGCGCACACACACACACACACACACACGCAATCAAATAAAATCATAATGGTAACCACTCATAGGTGTCTCTTTTATTTACATCCAGCATTGTTCAAGGTCCCTTCCTAGCTGTTTTCTCACCTAATCTGCACAGCCATCCTCTGAGGTGGCCCTCAGTCCCCACAAGCCGTGCTCAGGGATATCAACAGCTCTCCCTAGACAGTTCAACTTTAGGACTGGACCTGGTCACTCTTAAAGCCACTGTGACCATCAAAAACTGCTTCAGAAGGTGAAATCCTCAGCAGAGGAAATGAGAGTGTGGAGTTGGGCTGGCTTTTCTTCTGCCTATATATGTCCTTGTGTTCCAAGCTAACTGTACTCCAACTGTGAAAGTCCTTTGCTCACCTGAGGATGGTGAGGACAGACAGGAAGAGAAGAGCTGTTGGGATGAGACCATGTAGGCCTCTACAGAAGCATGTGGGTTGTTCCTTGTCCACTGAAGACATGGTGGCCTCCTGGTTTGTATTCACCTTCAGAAAGAGGCCTGGAAGTCACCTGGGACCTGGGACAGTCTGTGCAGTGCCTTATGTTTGGAGCCAGCACTCAAGCTGACTGACCATGGGCTACTGAGGGACTCTGTACATTCCCGCTGTGCCACAATGCTGATTCATGGGGAGCTAGGAAGGTGGCTCAATGGTAGAGTGGTTTCCTCGCATGCCTGAGGCCCTGGATTCGATTCCTCAACACCACATAAACAGAAAAAGGCAGAAGTGGTGCTGTGACTCAAGTGGTAGGGCACTTGCCTTGAGCTGAAGAGCTCAGGGGCAGTGCCCAGGCCCAGAGTTCAGGCCCCCCGACCGGACCCAAAAAAATAATAATAAAATAAAAAAGCCAAAGGGCTGGGCACAGGTGGCTCACACTTGTAATCCTAGCTATTCAGGAGGCTGAGATCTGAGAATAGAGGCTCAAAGCCAGCCAGGGCAGGAAAGACTTATCACCAGTTAACCACCAGAAACCAGAAGTAGTGCTGTGACTCAAGTGGGAGAGTGCTCACCTTGAGATGAAGAGCTCAGGGGCAGTGCCCAGGCCCAGAGTTCAAGCCCCACGACTGACAAAAAAAAAAAAAATACCGATTCATGGTTGTCGTGGCCATAACCTCCTTCCAGTTTCAGAATAGACAAGTCTTGCAGCCAACTCTTGCAGCTCTGTTTTCACTTCTAGGTTGTTCGAGTTCATGAGAACAGAATGCCTTCTTCCTTCCCAATGAGTCACACCATGACCAGCATCAATTTTTCTTGAATTCACTTTTTCCTGCACTACCACACAGGCTGTAAGCAACACAAAGATGCAGAAAACTTAAGATCCACTTGGAGCTAGGGATACAAGCATCCCTATTTACAGTCAGCTCTTCAGACAGCCCAGACATTTGGACTCTTCCCACATGCTCAGGAGTCTGTTCTGTGTGGCTTTTTGCAACTGAGAGCATGACTCCGTGCAGGCAGCCCCTTTCCAAAGAATGCCTTAGAGTGCCTGAGGACTTCCTGAACAAACAGATCGAGCCTTCAGGAGACATGCCAAGAACTGGTGTGCAGGCAGCACACCAGCAAATAGAGCAAACAAGAAGTAACTTAGAAACATTGCTCTAAAAGCCAGCTGCCAGGCCTCTCTGAGGGCTGCCTATGAGTGCCAAGACCATTCAGTGAAGGGAGGGGACATCAAAAAATAATGTGGGAAAACTGGATACCCACCTGGATCTACCTCACTTGGGCCTTTCCCTTATACCACAGACAGAACTTAACTCAAAATAGACTGAAGACCTAATTGTAAGACATAAAACAGTAAATTCGTAGAAGAAACAGAAGAAAAGCCTCCTGACATTTGGAGTTGGCAATTATTTTATAGGTGTGATTCCCAAAATGAAGCTAGCCAAAGCAAAAGATAAAAGGGACCCTATCAAACTGAAAAACTTTGGTACACCAACAACTCAACAATAAAATAAGTCACTCAGCTAAAAATGAGCCAGTGTGAATAGGCATCTCTGTAAAAAGATATGCATAGGGCCAACAAAAATAGGGAAAAATAGCTCATCAATAGCAAAATTCAAGTAAAAACCACAGAGTTACTCATAGCATCAGGATAACTAACAAAATACACAACCACACATACATACACACACACACACACACACACACACAAGCAGCAAAAAGTACGAGTTGGCCAGAATATGGAGAAGTTCCAGAAAAGTGTGTGGCACCTCCCCCAGATGGTTAGAGATAGAATTACTGTGCTATGTACCATCATGTTTCTGAGCCTGTATCCAAAAGAACTGAAAGCAGGGGTCCAAAGAGACGTTTACACCCCATGTCCAGAGCTAGGTATGGAGCTATCCCCGGGCACCATAAGGTGAAGCCACCCTTTGTGCTCCCTTTAACCAAACTGCTAGGCTGCTCTGGTTCTGGGTGAGTCAGTCTGTCTGGAGTATGTCCTGCCTCACCGATCACCTCAGAACTCCAGGGTGCTGCCCAGACTGCGCTGTTCTACCTGCTGCCCCTCAAACCTGCCCTGTGGGTCATGCTGTTTTCAAGTAACCGGCCCGCCCTCATCTGCCTATCCCAAGGGCGGGTCCCAATCTGGAGTATAGTCATCTAGGGACCTAGAGCTGCTATCAGGAGCCAAGCCAGGCGGGAGAGAACTGCACCTGGAAGATGCGTCCAGTGTCTGCCGGTGAGTGTGACCCAGCCTGGCCATCTCTGGGGGAAAAAAAGGGGCCAGGGCAGGGGAGAGTTGTCCCCACTCCCTCCTGCCCACCATACTGACCTGAGGTAAGAGCTGTCATCGGGGAATGGGCAAGTAAAGGTGGTTTGGGTTTTTCAAATGACTTGATCTTGTTAAGAGAGTTGGAAAAGTAGTGAGGAAGGATGAAATCCCTGTCTTCAATGGCCACTCACCTCTTGAGCCTGTGGTCTTGCTTGCTATGCCCAGGCCCAGTCTCTTGCTGTCGTCTGTAGAAGCTGGCTCCTCCCAAAGCTACAGTACAGCACAGCCACGTCCTGGGCAAACAGAAGAAAGGGTCAGAAAGAGGTCACTCTTGCTTTGTGTTTAAAAGCTGCTAATGTAGGAACTTGAACTTTGTTGATGTGTATGGATTATAGGGTAAATGAGTGAATGGCTGTATATGTAGGTACACGATCAATATTCTGCCCCCTAGTAATATCTTAATTTGTGTGGCTTGCACAAGGACACAAATCACCTCAGAATGAGTCCCTATCATTGAGTGACACACAGACTTACACAAGTTGCCTGAGGTTACTGACTTTTATTATAGATATTTTGGAAGAATTCAGTCTTTTTATTTTCTTTTTAGCAGTACTGAGTTTTGAATTCAGGGCGTTGCATGTTACTAAACAAGCACTCTACTACTTACACTAGGCTTCCAGCCCTTTTTACTTTGATTTATTTTTCAGATAGTGACTTAGACCCCTCTCCCCGCTGCCAGCCAACTCAGAGTAAGATCCTCCTACCTCCACCATCTGTGTAGCAGGGATTACAGGGGTGTGCCACTCAGCTCTCGTTGCTTCTCAACCGTCTAGCCATATCAAATGCAGGTTATGAATAGAAAATGCTGGCAGTGACCAGGTGCCCTCTCTCATCTACAGCCTTCTCACACACAGACCTCATGACTCATTTGTGCTCTATGAGGTCCTTTTTTTTTATTGTGAAAATAGTGTACAGAGGGGTTACAATTACATGGGCAAGATAATGAGTACATTTCTTATCAAGCATTGTTGCCTCCTCCTTTGTTTCCTCTTCCCATCCCTTCCCAGCCTCCCCCCGCCCTATGAGGTCCTTTTAAATACCCCCACCTCCCATATAATAGCAAGATTGTACTTATCTGGGCATGTATGATCATGAGCAAAGTCCTCCCCTAACCCAGAAGTCAGAATTGTGCCACTCTTGATTTTTTGGGTTAATGATTTCCACTTGACCTTTACCTTGGCACTTAAAACTAATTCCTGGTTTGTTCCAGCTGGTGGTGGACAAGCAAATTGAAGGATGGAGTAGTTGGGCTTGAGCCATTCCGTCACCTGTAGGTCTCCTAGTGGACACTGTAGGCTTCAGCCTGGGGCAGTGCAGGTGCACTCCCACCATGGAGCTCAGGTAGCAGTTCCTTTCTGCCAAAAGTTTTCAATGGACAGGACAAGGAAGGCAGTGGCATGGAGGCCAGCCAAGCCCTAAACTATAGCCTTCCTCTTCAGTCTGCCCTGATCTCCCCAGTAAAAGGCGTGGTGTCACCTGTGACTTGAATACACTGGCAAGCACCAGGAACAAACAGCTTCTCTGTACTTACTTGGGTTGGAGGAAATTCACTAAGAAGTCCGGATTGTCAGATTGCTCCACCAACCCCCGGGGAGGGGGCTAGGTGGGTTCTGAGAGTCTTTCATGTGGGCCCTAGAGTAGCAGTTGGTCTTGGAATGGCTTTCTTGTGGGCTCCTCAGTGAGGTGTCGAGCACCTCTGGAACCCCATGCACTGGACAATGGGGATGAGTCACATACATACAAATACACGGAAGGAGGTTCTCTTGAGTACAAAGTCTGTGACAGCCTCCCTGGGCTGGGAGCTCAGGCTCCTCATGCAACTTCTGGGCAACACAGAGTCATGGACACTTCCAGGAGTCTTCTAGACACTTGTATCTTCCTCGGAGTTGTGAGAAGTGTCTAGATGGTTGCTCCTTGCCTCTTCACAAGACGGCCCTTCCTGGCTTGAGATCCTTCCTGTGTGGATGCTCGGCTTTTGGTACATTCTCCATTTCTTCCCTGTCACATCGGCCATTTGCCCTGTTCAATTAGGGACCACATTGTGTCTCCTCATTCATTTAAGTAGCTGATTGACACACCCACCTCAAAGGTGACACCATGCTCTTTTTCATCTCCCACCAAACTCTATCCTGTATTGTGGTTCTGGATCCTTAGTGGAGCATGGAGACTTCTGGAAGAGTCTCTGAATGTTGTCAGGTTTACCACTTTTGTTCATATTGATTGCTTGCATAAAATTGTCCAGTAGTCACCTGACATACCTTGATACCGACAACTATTGCTGTCTGCTATCTAGCCATTGTCTGCCTAACATATTTTTCTAGAATAGTGTGCTCGAGTCTGATGGGAGCTCTGGATGGGAAGAAAAAGAGTCCACAAGTCTAAGGTCATCTGCTCTTCTACCCGAGCAGAAGGAGATTAGAGTTCCTGCAAGATCTTCAGGTCCCATGGTTCCCTTCTCCTTGTTCTTTCTCCCTTCTCCTTCCTTCCTCTCTTGTTTTACAAGGTAGCGCCAGGCTGATGTCCTTCAGCTGCGTCCTGGAAAGCACAGTGTTGAGCTGACTGCCAGAGATGTTGCCAGGGACTTCCTACCCCTGTTGTGAATTCTTGGTGTCTCTGCAGAGACCTCCCTGTGATAGAACAAACATGTGGCTTGCAGCATTGTGGTCCGCAGTCATGATCCTTGCTTACTCACTGGCCCCAGAAGCTAGCCTCAACGTGGCAATGCAGAGAGAGGGAAGATGGACCACGACTCCGCCCCAGGAGGTTTACACTTCATTCTATGAGCAAATTCAAGTCTGATTATGTCTCACAAAGAGAACAAGCAGTGCCAGGCTTTTCAGACCTGCCTGCAGTGGGTGTGTTCAGCACATGCTCAGTGAATCCTTGACATTAGCACTCAAGAAGCTCTGAGACGCAGGCCAACAGCAGGCAGCCATCCTTTCCTGTGTTTTCTGCTTCTGGCTGTTTCAAACACCCAGCACTGCAAAGCCAAAGGGCCCGACCTCTATAGCTCCCGCAGGTGGGAGCTGACTCCCCAGCAATGGTACCCTTTTGCCATCATTGCACCCCAAGTGGGTCAGGATGACAATGACGGACAGAGAGTGAGAGTGCTCATGGGGGGGTCAGAGGGTGAGGGTGGTCTAACCCGCACAGCCCAGACCTCCACAGTGTTGGTGTCATTTGTCTTTAGGTGCATTCAAGGCTATGTTCTTCGTCTTTGCCTCCATGTGCGCCTGGTACTCAGGGTACCTGCTCGCAGAGCTCATTCCTGCCGTGACTCTGTCCAGTGCCGTCTACAGCCTCCGGAGCGTCGGTGAGAAGCCCATTCTCAGGGGTGAGTGACGAAGTGGGGATGGCTTTGTGCAGAGGATGGAGATAGAAAAGAGGCCCCACCAATGTCCTCTGTGCAGGCCCCGCAGCATCTCCAGGCAAGTGCCACTGCACATGCCCATGGGTGCCACCACCATCTGCCCTCAGGCTGCTCAGCTGTGACCCAAGCTTGTAGTCTGATCTTAGCCTATCCATTGTAGGCCCCAAGTCTCAGCTTCCTCCTGCATGAAACTCAGGGGGCCCAGATCCTGTACTCAAATCATTCTGAATTTTCCAAGGGACTGGCTATGTTCTCAGAAGCTGTTGTTCCTGGTCCCAGGGAGTAGAAATAACAATGTTGTGTTGTGTGGTGCTGACATGATTCCTACTGCTGACACATGGACTGAATGACAGCCACAAGCATCTGAGCCTTTATAGGACTCAGACCTGCCTGCCACCTGGGCTTCTTCATCTTGCTGTGCTCTGGAACAGTTCAGGTAGAGGCTGAGCAGACACAGGATGTAGCCTTAGAGGTAGGCTAACAAGCAGTGATTGCAATAAAGCAGGGACCGAGCCAGGCACATGTTGCTGAGGGGTCTTGGTAAGCTTGATTTAAAGCATCAGGTTCTGTCTGTTTGAGCTACTGAAATAGAATTAGTGTAGCCTGGGCAGCTTCTAATGACATAAATGCAAATCCCACACAGATATGAGGCCATGTCTGTCTAGCAACAACCAGCTTCCTAAGTCTCCTCACTGAGGCATTTTCTGATAATGATTTTCTTTGCAGTGTTCATTCTGTTAACTGATCAACTGGCTGAATTCCTTTTGCTGTATCCAATAGGAATTAGAAGTGGCGAGGAGATGTTCTACTGCTGATCATCTCAAGACCTCAGCAGTTTTTGAAATCTTGGGCTTCTGGCAGCTGCAGGGAGCAGAAGGCAGCAGTGGGCTGAGCCTTTCATTTAACAGCACATGCACAGTCTTGGGTGGCAGGACACTTGGCCCTGCAGCCCCATCACTGCACTCCTCATGCCTTGGAAGTTGCCTTGGTCCTTGGTAGCTATGGGAGTATTGTAGCTCTCTAAAAATCCTCCAGGGACAAGGGTGCATGGACTAGCACTTCTCTGTTCTGGCTCTTTCCAGCCTGTCTTTCTTCAAACCCACTTCTCTGCCCTTTTACCTTCTTTCTACTTCTTTTTTTTTTTTTTTGCCAGTTGTGGGGCCTGAACTCTGGGCCTGGGCACTGTCCCTCAGCTTTTCAGCTCAAGGCTAGCACTCTACCACTTGAGCCACAGCACCACTTCTGGCTTTTTGTGTGTATGTGGTGCTGAGGAATCGAACCCAGGTCCTCATGCATGCAAGGCAAGCGCTCTACCACTGAGCCACTTCCTAGCCCCACCTTCTCTCTACTTCTGCCATCCCTCCTTGTCTCTGCCACTTCGGTTCCCATCACTTTTTCCCTGACCACTATCACCACTGCTCTTGTCTGGGTGGCAGCTGCCTCTGTGACTAGTGGCAGCTCTGCACTGTCTCTGTAACCATTCCTATTCTGACACCTCTATCTCTGCTTCTTTGTCTTTCTTTGTGCTGTTAGCTCAGCCTGCTCTATTAATAATCAAGGCCTAAAGTAGGCAAGAAAAGACTATATGAGAGAAGTCCTCATTGGGTCTATATCATGCAATCAGGGAAAAGGTATTCTTAGCTGGCTGGAAAATGTAAGTCAACAGACTGCTTATTTAATTGGAAAAGGGGTGTGGCAAGGGTAGCTGCACCAATCACAGCTTCAGGGTCATCTCAAGGTTGTCCAGGCTGGTGTTGGCAAAAAGCTTGATGTGAGCTGTTGAATCTGTCAGTCCTGGTTATTACAGTACCTTCCGGATCTGAGTTGTGCTTTAGCAGCCAAGCAACTCATTGTCCTATGGCTTCTTCAAGGTGTCCATGCATGTTCGAAGCAGCTGGCCTGGCCTGAGGGCTGTCCAGCTGGCTGCTGGGCTATGATCTCCACTCCTGGGACACCCAGGAAGGGTCTGACAGCTGTCATTTAGGGAGTCAAATCTCCCCAGCCCCAACATCTTAGTATTTAAAGGGAAAAATCTAAAGGCTTATTATTAATATAAGCAGTGCTCTAATAGTGCCCCAGAGAGAAAGATGGGTCCCTCCCCCAAGTCTCAGTTTCAGGAAAGACTGAGCAGGAAACTCTGAGCAGGAGTTTTCTGGCTACTTAGCAGGTGCTTATGAGTAATCAGATTCACTGATAGGTCCTTGATCTCTTCATTTCCTGATACTAGTTTCAGCTAACAGTGCCCATCTCAGGAAATAATTATTCTTAAAAAAAGACAATTGCATAACCTCTCTATTAAGTCAACAACCCCTAGTAGCCTGCTGCCTGCTCCTGTCCTCATCTTCTGGTATTTCTCTTTGAATAAATGTTGTTAGGGCCCAGGGTTGTATAGGGTTGATCCCTGCTGTGGGTAAATAGCACATCTGGTGTACAAAGGGTTCTTCATGGATTCAGGTCCCCTTCCCCTTCAGCTGAGGGGCCTTTGTACCCTGTGTGTCTCTGGCAGTGCTGGAGCCTGGAAGTGTCTGTCTCCGGGAAGTGAGCCTGGGCCAGCTGTGGTAAGGATCTCTCTGAGGACTGCACCAGCACTGTGAAGCCCTCAGTCTGAGCTGGGTAAGGGAAGTACACAGGCTCCCAGGGGACAAAGTTGTTCCCTCTGAGGAGCCATCTCTCTGCACCTGTAGGGTGCCTGCTAAGTTAGAAGATGCCCACTTTTAAAGAATAGAGTAAGTACTGGTGGATTACTCCTGTAATCCTTATCTATTCAAAAAAGGTCTCAGGATCTGAATTCAAAGCCAGTCTGGGCAGACAAATCTGAGAGACTCTTCTCTCCACTTCACCATCTAAGTCATAAGTGGAGCTGTGGTTCAAGAGGTAGAACCTCAGTCCTGATCAAAAAAGCCAAGTAAGAGTTCAAGACCTGGAGTTCAAGCCCCAGTATCCATATGCACACACACACACACAAAATAGAGAATATGTTAGTGATATCTTCAACTACTGTGTTAGATGCATTTAATATCATTACTAAATTTAAAGAAAGTGTTAAAAATCCAGAGACAATTAGAATGTGCCATATTTCTTATTAACAGCTAGTTACTTGACCTTGGTCATCTGAACATTGACAAAAATATTATGTGGATAGATAGATTTGGGGAGTACTGGGATTTGAACTCAGGGTCTTGCATTTACAAGCCAGCTACTCTACTGCTGAAGCTATGCCTCTAGCCTTTTTTTTCTGTTCCAGTCCTGGGACTTGAACTTAGGGCCTGGACCTGTCCCTGAGCTGCTGCTTGTTCAAGGCTAGCGTTTTGAACCACAGTGCCACTTCTGGCTTTTTCTGAGTAGTTTATTAGAGATAAGATTCTCATTGCGGGCTGGGAAGGTAGCTCAGTGGTAAAGCGCTTGCCTTGCAAGCCTGAGGCCCTGGGTTCAATTCCTCAGCACCACATAAGCAAAAAGAAAAAAGCCAGAAGTGGCACTGTGGTTCAAGTGATAGAGCGCTAGCCTTGAACTGAAGAGCTGAAGGACAGCACGCAGGCCCAGAGTTCAGGCCTCACGACCGGACCCAAAAAAAAAAAAAAAAGAAAGAAAAAAAAGAAAAGAGTCTCATTGCTAGGTGCTGGTAGCTCATACTTGTAATCCTACAGGAAAATCTGTGAGACTCTTATCTCCAGAAAACTAGAAGTGGGGCTGTGACTCAAAGTGCTAGTGCACTAGCCTTGAGCAAAAAAGTTTAGGGACAATGCCCATGTCAATTTTCTATCTGTCCATTGTCGCAGATATCCTCTTGAAGTCATGTTATTGTTTTGCTTTATGTTTTAGGTATTCCCACGTTAGGTAAGCTTATATTTATAACAGTTACACCTTCATGAGTTCACCCCTTATCATTGTGTTTTGGACAGTTTGATCTAAAATCTGTTGCAGCTACTCTTGTAGCCCCAGCAGTCACCCAGGGCCAGCTGCCTTCCAGTTCATTCTCATGGCAATCTTTATCCATCTCCTCATTTGCACTCTACCTGTCTTCTTAAAGGTGAGATGAGTCTCTTATAGGCAGAGTATATAGTTGGCTCATTTTTGTTTTTATAGTATATTCAGCTATTCAATATCTTTTATTTATTTTTTATTCCAAAACCCCTTTTATATTTTTTTGATTTTTAAAATTATCTTTAAGTAGTGGTACAAAGAAGTTCCCATTCTACAATGTATATTAATATAAGGTGTCTGACAACATTGCCATCCGTTGCTCCTAACCAATGTCTTTTAATTAGGGAAATTAATCTGTTTACATTTAGAGCAATGTGTCTGTGTGTCTGTGTCTGTGTCTATGGCTTTGACTGTGCCTGTGCCTGAATTAACGCTCATGCTTTCAATTGCCTTTTTTGCTAAAGGCTGGTATTCTACCACTGGAGCCACACCTCCAGTTCTAGCTTTCTGATGGTTAATTGGAGATAAGAACCATAGTTTTTTTTCTTTCCATCTGGAGTGGCTCTGGACCAAGATCCTCAGATCTTAGCCTCCTGAGTAGCTAGGATTGCAGGTATGCGCCACCGGCACCCAAATTAAAATAACTCTGATAGTTATACAGTTACTACTATACTAGCCAATTAACAATTTCACTAATTTTCTTCTGATTGTTATACTTTTTTTGTGATTCAGTTTCTTCCCATCTTGCTATCTTTCTTTGCATTTAGATCTTTTTCTCCTCCTCCATTTCCTCCTCCTCTTCCTCTTCTGCCTGCTCCTCTTTCTCCTTCATATGGCTCCAATGCTTGAATTCAGCTGCTTGCTTACTTGGCTGGTATTCTGCCACTTTAGCGATGCCTCCAGCTCTACTTTCAAAGATGGTTATTTGGGAGATAGCATTTCCATGAGCTTTCTTCCCAGGCTGTCTTTGAACCGAGATCCTCTGAATTTCAGCCTCCTGGGGGGCTAGGATTAGAGATACGAGCCACCAATGCCTGGCTCATGATTAGATGAGTTTCTGTATTGGTATCCTATGAGTCCCTGCTCATGATCTACTGCATATCTTACCATTTTCTACTTCTTAGTTTCTGTGTGCTAAGTCCAAAAACACATGATCCTTAAAGTAGAGAACCAAGTCCCCTGTCAAACTTGGAGGGCTTTTGCATTTTCTAGGCACCTGGGATTTAAATCTGGACCAAGCACCAGCCTGCAGTCCTATCTGTGACCTGCAGGAGAGGCACATGAGGCAGGCCACCCACACCCCCGCACCCACACCCCAGCTTCCTTCTTACCTTTTAGCTTCAGGCCAGCCTGAACCCTCCTAACTGGAGCCATCTCCAGGGACTGCTTACACACACACACACACACACACACACACACACACACACACACACACAGTAGCACCCCAAGCAGAAACCTCAGTTCCTCTAGCTGGTTAGCTAGTGTGTGGTCAGATGTGCATTGTTGGGTGTGCATGTGGGGTAGAGTGTATGTGTATGTATGGTATTACATATATTGTATATGTGGTATGGATGTGTGTTAGTATAAGTGCAGTTTGGCATATGGTATGTGTATGTGGCATAGGGTCCCTGTGAGTTTGTGTGTGGTATTTGATGTCATTTTTGACTTGTTACACAGCATGTGTATGTGCTTACGTCTATGTAAAAGCAGAAGCTATGTATCTCTACCCAGGCCTGCCTCTGTTCCCTAGCCCTCTAGGCTCCTAGATCTGTCTGTTATTGCAGTGCAAATATGGATGGTCCCCAAGAATATCCGTTTTGATCAACAGCCATGAAGAGTTATCCCCACACTTCTGGCATCACTCTGCCTAGTCTGCATGCCTGTTGCCTCAGGACAGAAGCATCTCTGGGGACATTCCAATGGTTATACTACAGTTGAACACGTTCTTCTGGGTGGCTCTGTTCCCCCTGGTGTTGCCACCATTGGGAGTTGGCAAAGAGCTAGAATGGTCTAACTCAGAGTTCATCTGCTAAGCTATTGTGATGCTAATTATTAATACTCTGTTTATTACAGCGCCAGACCCCAAAAGGCAAAAGTGTGACCACTGGGCCTCATGTCCCCCCAACACCTATGCCTATCGCTTGCTCAGTGGTGGGGGCAAAGACAAGTATGCCAAGATCTGCTTTGAAGATGAGCTGTAAGTACCACGATTAGGAAGAGGGCAGTGCCTACTTTTTGCTTCTGTCCTCTCCTCCTAGGAGGCCACACCACAAGCATGCCTTGATCTCAGACCAAGGCTGAGGAATCCCTGCTGTGCTCCCAGGGGGGGACAGTGATTATCTCTGAGGGCTGCCTCTGTCTCTCTCCCTCTGTCCTTTCTCCCTCTCCCTGTCCTCCCCCCTCCCCCCATCTCTGTCTGAGGTTTGTGTCTCTTGTCAAACTTAGTCTCATATGACCATAGTTTGTATTTTGTTCTTTCCTGGGAATTTGTGTCAAAGCACTTCAAAGTCACCGGAACCACAGTGTCACCTGACAGTTCTGTGCAGTTTTACCCTGGCCCCCACCCTCATGGTTTAAAGCAGGAGCACTGTGTCTGTCACTACACCTCTCTCTTTTTCTTCCCCCTCTTTGGACTTAATTTTTGAACATACAATACATTTACATGGTTCAGAATTAACAATACATATTTAAAATATACTGAGAGATGTACTCTATATATCTTCCAATTCCCCGCCCCCCTCCCCCCCCCCGTCCCCTGTATCCATCTCCATTTGTTTTTGTTCATTTTGTTTTTGCCTTGAATTCAGGGCCTGGGCACTGTCCCTGAGCCTTTTTGTACTGAAGGCAACCACTCTACCACTTGAGCCACTGTGCCTCTTCCGTCTTTTTCTGAGTAGTTTATTGGAGCTAAGAGCCTTACAGACTTTCCTGCCCAGGCTGGCTTAAAACGGGATCCTCAGATCTCAGCCTCCTGAGCAGCGAGGATTACAGATGTGAGCCACTGGCACTTGGCTTCCGTTTCTTTTTTTCTTAGTTTGTAGTTTTCTTTTTTTTTTTTCTTTTTGACAGTACTGGGACTTGAACTGAGAGCCTCACATTTTCTCAGTTTGCTCAACTGGCATACTACTACTTGAGCCATACCTCCAGCCCAACAGTTTGCTGGTTATTCTTGAGATGGAGTCTCACAGACTTTTCTGCCCAGTATTCCCTTGAACTATGATCCTCCAGATCTCAGCCTCCTCAGTAGGTAGGATTACGGATGTAAACCACCAGTGCCTGATAATTTTTATTAGTTTCTGACTGCTTGTGTCAGTGGTTTCTTTTTAATGGAAAAATAAGCTTCCTATGCAAAATCAGTATATACTTATATATCTATTTTATGTGCATACATAGGCACGTATATGTGAGTACACATGAATATGAGTGTGTGAATGTGTTTATGTGCATATAATTTTTTACAGATAAAGTAGGAAACTCTTTTTTTATGGGTACATAGCACAGCCAGCTCATAGTTTATTCCACTATTTTTACACTGGTGTGCATTTCTACTGTATAGAATTTTTAAAAATTACCGGGAGGGGCTGGGAGAGGGGAAGGCATGGGAAGGGGAAACAAAGGAGGAGGCAACAATGCTTGATAAGAAATGTACTCATTATCCTGCCCATGTAATTTTAACCCCCTCTGTACAGTATTTTCACAATAAAAAAAGACTAAAAAAATTACGGCAAATTATAAGTGGATAGTGTTTTTAGTTAATTATAATGTCCTCATGTGTAGCCTCTGTTCTGATTAAGCAATAGATATTGCCAGGCCTCTGTGCACCTTCTGTAAATCAGCTTCTTCTTTTCTTTGTCCCTCTAGTAAGAGCACTATGGTGTCTCCTAGGTGGTTATTTCCTTGCTTGTCTTGATGTTTATATTGCCTGAGCTTTCATGTACACTCTGTTGCTTCATTTTATATATCTGAACTTTATGTCATATAGTCATAAACTATATACCCTATCATCTCTGATCTTTCTAGGCCAAGTGGCATTTGTGAGATCTCTCCTGGTCATTGAGTTGTAACTATTTTTTATGGGTTTGCTTCAATACACAGTAATTTTTTTTTTCCCATTCTGTAGAATGACAGCTGAATCATTATGGTTGTTTATGAAGAGTGCTGCTACCGTCTCTTAGTGCAGATAGATAGATAGATACATAGATACATAGATACATAGATACATAGATAGATACATAGATGCATAGATACATAGATAGGTAGATTTCTGTTCCGTTTTGGTTCGGGTGGGGTGGAAGGATCCCACATCCAGCTTCAAATTCACTCATTCCTCTAGAAGGATTCATAAGATTCAGTAACAGGTTACAAGAATTGATAGGGTTTATGACAACAAAAGATAACAGAGCAGGGCTGGGGGGAGTAGTAGAGCAACTGGCCTACCACATGTGAGGTATTGAGTTCAAATCTCAGCAATACTATACCAATACTGTGTGTGTGTGTGTGTGTGTGTGTGTGTGTGTGTATGTGTGTAGCTTCAGATAATACAAAGTAAACAATGTAAAAGACATATGAAAAAGGTACGGCCACTTCTTGCAGTTTACATTTCTCTGAAATAATCTGTTTCATCTTTATTTCTGAAAGAGGATGGTTGTTTGGGCTGTAGTGTCTTTCACTGAATTTTAAGGGGATGTTCTATCCTCCTCTGACTCCATTGTTTCTTTTGTGAAGTCAGCTAACAATCTGCCTTTTATTTTTTTCCCTCTTCTTTTATTTGCTACTTAGTTGAGTTAAAACCAAGCTGAAATCCACACGAATATTAGTTAACATCTGGCTTACTCTCACTTTAAGAATTCAACCCTTTGGGAGCCTAGCCCAAGTAAACAAAGGGGAGATTTAGCATGATGCTCACTCTGGTTTTGCCTTTGTCCCATCTCTCATCATTTTCACAGTGCTCAATGCCTCCTCTCCCACCTTCCTGCCACCACAAAGGATTCTTAAAAGGTAAACATGGAGCCGGGTGCCGGTGGCTCACACCTGTAATCCTAGCTACTAAGAAGGCTGAGATCTGAGAATCGTGGTTCAAAGCCAGCCCGGGCAGGAAAGACTGTGAGACTCCTATCTCTAATAAACCACTAGAAAACCAGAAGTGGTGCTGTGGCTCAAGTGGTAGAGCACTTGCCTTGAGCTGAAGAGCTGAGGGACAGCGCCCGAGCCCAGAGTTCAAGCCCCACAACTAACAAAAAAAAAAAAAAGGTAAAACATGGGGTGAAATGCTGGGCAAACACCTGAGACTTGAGTCTTTGCCACAGGCCTGAGGCTCCAGTTTACCTCAAGAGATCTCATTAAAATGTTCCCTGTCTTCTCTGGTTTTTCTCTGTGGTAGTAGATCCAGATTCCCCCATCTTCCCATGGTCAGAAATGGAGGCCTTTGCTTCTTCCTAGTTCTTTTAGAAGTGTCTAAGATTGTGAAAAGCACTAAGCCTGGAAGGTTCACAGCATGTCAGAGAGCAGATTTGTACATGCAGATTCACTGTCACAAAGCAGGAGAAAAGAGGAAGCTTTCCGATTCTGTTCTCTACACTCTCATGTCACTGATGCAAAGAGTACATGCGCGTGTGTGCACAGGCGTGAATGCGCGCGCGCACACACACACACACACACAGTTTGTGTGTGAACCTCCTATCTCCTGGAAAGGTGGTTGTCTTGACTTGTCAAGTTCTTTGACTTAAGGTAAAAGTTAAGTGATGATATACAGTGTTCACTCACAAGAAATAATTGGGTTAATCTTGGTGATGGGGCAAAAGAATGGCCAAGAGTCAAAAGTCAAGCAAGGCTTCTATGGGTTCCCTGAAAGGAAAAGGACATGGACACGGGAGAACTAGGCCTGAGTTGGAAGGCCTTCCACTTCCTCCCGCTTACCTGTGAAATAGAGAAGTAGGTGCTTTGGAGCTAAGCTAAATAAACTTTTGAAGCTAAATAAACAAGAGTGAGTTTCCCCTCTCCTTTTTGTCTAAATCATAACCTGGAATGTGCCCCAAGAGACTGAGTCTGTAATAAGCTGAGGTCTATAGAAATGTGTGTGGAGGGTCTAGAGTAAGGTCTGGAAGCTATGGGGTTGCTGCACAGCGGGAGGAAGTGGGGAGGAGACAAACTGGTGCAGCCTTGCCTAGGAAGGCGAACACAGGAAAGCTGCCCCTTTGGAGGCAAGTTCCTCCTTTGGAAGAACTCCAAACTCCATGACTGATGTTCAGCTGTATTTCAGGCTTCTAGGTAGAAGGTATGGGAATGTTGGAAGAGGAATAAACATTGCCATCATCAACTGTAAGTTAAATGTTTTCCTTAGAACTTCCTTGAAGGAGGGAGGGAGTGATGGGAGGGGTGACAATGATCAAGATAAACTCATTTGTACAACTACTGTTAGATCATACAAATGGTAATAGAAAAGAACTTCCCCTAGAAGTTCAGAGATTGGGTTTTCCCACAGACTTTAGGTTCTCAAGATCTTTGCCTCTAATCTAGTCTAGGTGGATATTTTAAAACATTTTAAATTATGATTATTTTTAACCTGCCTCACTTCACAGACTATTAGTGGTTCTAATGACAACAAAAATACCTGAAAACTGAATATAATAGAACCTTTTGAGAAGACAAGAGGCAGAGTGATGCCCAGATGAGCAAAGGCTATGGTTCTGGCTTGTGTCTCACACCTGTTCTCTGATGCCAATGTTTTTCTGAGCAGAGTGCAACACAATTGGACATTTCCCCGTGCTGTGCATCCAAAGAGCCCCAGAATCCCCGTGAATGAAGACTTGGCTTTCCTTTCCGTTTCCATTGCCTCTAGGGGATCCTGGCAAGAAATGGAGGGCTTGGGAAAGAGGGTCCCTGCAGTCCCCCGGGGAAAGAGGCTTGCTCTAGTGTCTCAGGGAGATTCCCTCTGATATCCCTAGGAAAGGAGTCCCTGAGGTATCCATGCAAAAGAGGTTCCTTTGGTGTCCCTGGAAAAAGAAATTCCCAGTAATATCCCCACCAGTGAAATGACAGCATGGCCAGTGACAGTGGGGCTGGAGGGTGAGGGACAAAATGCTCTAAAGTCCCCATGGAAACATGAAGAGGTGGAAAGGGGTGAGGTGGGGCCCTAGTATTTCTGGGGGAAGCAGCAGGAGGAGAGGAAAGCAGGTGAAGATCAAGTGTTACTGGACGTAGGCTGGAAGGCTGGAAGGTGTTGTTCTGATCTGTGCTGGTGACAGAATGTCGCCCTCTTCAGGCTGTATGGCCACACTAGTCATGTTTCCTGCAGAAACACCTAAGGAATATATCATTGGGGGAGGTGGGGGTTATGATGCCTCCTTGGTTTTATGAACTTTCCTTTAATAAATGATTTCTACTTGCAGATGTGACGGGGAAGGTGATGGCGACCCAGCATTTTGATATGTATGGAGATGGTAAGAACCCTCTAATCCTGGTAACATTAAGATGAATTTTCAACATAATGTAGGCTTGAAGAGAAACCAAGGCACAACTTGACAATGAAACAGTTTCTTTGGCCTGTGTTTGTGGGATCTCAGGTCTGGGGTGGGTTCTGCACTGCAGTTTACAAGGCTGCCTTCCTCTGCAGTGTCACCCTGACAGAAGAAGATCCCAGTGAGTGACAAGTTTGCCTAATCAAGGCTTTAGGGTCTACTTTCCTCTAGATGTGGCTTTCCTTGTTTCTTTGAGCCCAAGAACCCATTGTCTGGGATTCCTGTTCATTGTGCCCTGAACAGCCACTGGGCTGTCTGTGCCTTGTCAATCTCAGCTGGCAGACACCAAGCTCTAAGAAGTAAGGATCCAGGACATCTAGAGAAGCAGAGGACAACAGGAGGTTGGCAGCCTTGGCAAGAGCCTCTTTTCTCTAAGAAGACACTAAACTGCCTTGCCTTGACCCTGCAGATGGCTCTGGACCAATGATGGAGTTCATTCAGAGAGCATCTCCCAAATCCTTACTGCTCATGGTGACCCAGGATGACGGGAGCACTAAGTGAGCATATGCAACTGACATGGGTAGCGGGGCAGCTCCTGTGAGTGTGTGCGGCTGACACAGGGCAGCTGGGGAAGCTCCTGTGAGTGTGCGCGGCTGACACAGGACAGCTCCTGTGAGTGTGTGCGGCTGACACAGGACAGCTCCTGTGAGTGTGTGCGGCTGACACAGGGCAGCTGGGACAGCTCC